GCACCATCCAGCTGCTCTTCATGCATGCATGCATGTCAGAAACCGGAAGAACTGGCACCAGAAACCAGAAGATCATCTTCCTGGCATGTGCATGCATGCAGAGCAGCTGCTTTTCCAGTATACAGTACACAGACACACATGCACACTCCTGTTTCGACACTCCGTGCCAAAAAGTTTCGCCAACACTGATCTAGGGCAAGTCAACAATGGCCAACTCTCCATGGCCAAGTCACTGAGGAACAATTCAACGCTGCATTAATTCCTTCATTCAGTTACCTTTATTATTATTGGGGACCACGTTTTCATCGAAATTATAGTAACTTTTCTATCTCTGGATTGACCTTCTTTATATTGTTATTATTGGCCACAGTTCCATTGGAATTAACTTAACTTTTGCATTTGTTGAATTGTCCTGTTGCGAATTCTCCTGCAGCAAGTTGCCCATGGTGAGTTGTCCCATTCTGAATCAGAAAAATGCAACTGGAATAAGTAGGAAGAGAAGATTTATGCCCTTCTCTCTCTCGTTGTAAAAGTATTCCATACCTAAGTTTTCTTGTGAGAAAAGCCCTGACTGGCACCAATGGAATGAGAAATACAGGAAGACTGATGCCTTGAATCAGCCCCATCTGATTTAAGAGAAATTCATACAACTGCACTGACAAGTTAAGAGCAGGGTCAGAACGGCTCCACGCAGAGTTATGCATCTGGTTCAGCAATTACCCAGCTGTAATCATCCACACTGAATACTCTCTGGAATAACTTTTGGTACATTTTCAATTTGTCAGTTTAATTGTGTGAATTGTTCCATTCGTTATTCCCGAGTCATACTCCTGCTTTTCCTTTGCTCACTTTAATACATGACAAAACCACTTCACACAAATGAAAATTCGGCAGCGACACCACATCTACCCAGATGATTTTTCTGTAATGGGAATCATAGAAGCAGGCTGTTCCTTGCAATGCTTCGGCCCATCTAACGCTCAATGAAACATCAACTCTGAATGTTAAGATTCTTAAGAAAAGAGAAAGAATCAGTGCATTCTTGAGACACGGGAAATAATGGTAGAGTGATTTCTGTAGAGCAGTGTTTCTCAACCTCTGCAACTTTAAGAAGTATGGGTTTCGACTCCCAGAATTCCCTAGGCAGCATGCATTGGTTGAGGAATTCTGGGAGTTGAAGTCCGCATGTCTTAAAGTTGCAAAGACTGAGAAATACTGCTATAAAGAGAGTTTGTTCCAGCAACTGGATTCTAATGCATGCATCTTATTGGTTATTCCTAGGGCATGTCAAGTTTTCCAACTTTCAATTTCAAAAACACCAGGGGTGCTCAAAAGTTGTGACAAGCCTTGGGGATTGTAAAGATATTTTGGTTACTTTATTATACTATAGATGTGCTTGGTAAGTAACTACATAAATACCATAACTCTTCAACATTTTGTTTGTTTCATCAGACGTAGCCAATCTAAGACCCCCAACTTCATACCATGAATGTTCTCTCAAATCATAAACATGATATGCCCCAAGCATTATGGGATTCATTTATCCCAGAGGGAGTGTTGTGCCACCTTTGCAGAGCTGAAGTATGTGTGAAAACAACCTCTCATGTGTACAGCTTAAGAAATAATTAATTGTTGTACAAACTCTTAAAATTGGTTCTTTGTAGCACTAAATCTGGATGTGCTTTAAAATATAAGGATAGTTTGCATGATTAATTTCACCTAACTGGAGTAGAGCTATAGCAGAACAGTGCCTAACCATGAGTTCTTTACAGGTATGAAATTACTCTGACTAAACTGGGATGCTCACTGGAGGAAGCAATTATGTGGGGGAAAGTTAGCACTAAAAGGGAACCAGGCTGTCAAAGAATGCAATGGCTCGACACCATCAAAGCTGACACCAGCCAATGCATAGAAAAACTCAAAGAAGCAGTGCAAGACTGAAAGATGTGGAAAGACTTGGCCCATAGTATCACCAAGAGTCAGACACAACTGAATGGATAATATCATCAAACTGAGATGCATTTTTGCACCAAGGGATAATGGGATTGTCTTGATTTTGGTATAGTGTCAGGAGTCGGCTGCTAGGGGTTTGCAGGGGTTCGGGAGAACCTCTACCTAAGATTCTGTTTAGTTCGGAGAACCCCCAAATCCCAGTCCTGGCTGGCCCCGCCCCGCCCACCCCTTCCTGGAGTCCCCACGGGGTCCATTTTGGATGCAGGTAAGTGCAAGGCGCGCACAGAAGCTCAGGGAGGGTGAAAAACGGGCCAACCAGAAGTTCGGGAAGGCCGGAAATGGGCCCCTTTCTGGCCTCCAGAGGATCTCCAGAGCCTGGGGAGGCCGTTTTTGCCCTCCCAGAGGCTCAATGAAAGCCTCCGGAAGCCAGGGAGGGCAACCCCCCCTCCTGTAGTGCAGGAGGCCAACTAGGCCACGCCCACTATGGCCACAGCCACCCAGCAACCAAACAGAGAACCCCTTGCTAACATTTTTGAAGCCCGCCCTTGGTATAACGCTATGTGTGAATCCAGCTGCCATGTTTGTAGAACATCATTTCTAACTTAATGCACTGTGAGAACCAGTTAACTGTGATTTACGCTTCAATCTGTATGTGTAATTGCAGTCGCTGACTTGTCAGTCAAACCATATCTTTTTGTCTCCAACTAGGAAAAATGGCAAAATATGATTCAGAAAGCCTATTGTGCTTAATTAGAGCTTCCGTTGTGTTTGAACAATGGTTGATCAAAACTCAAATGTACAGTTCAAATAAAGCATTATATTATACTTCTAACAACACCTCCTACTCTATAGGCCTTGCAGAGATGCAGGCACAGTAGCAGGTTAAATTTGATTGAATTCTTATTTTTAATGGGGAAGGGGAAGTTTGAATCTGTAAATCTGTCATAGAACGAATGACACTAATTCAGTGAAATACAGTTTTGTAAAAAGACATACTGTATATAGATTTGCCCCCTCAAAAAAAAAAAAAAGCAAAATGTTTTTGTTCCTTATTTGATTTATATGGGCACCTCTCCAACTGGAGCTTAAGGCAACATAGCAGATTTTGGAGCAAGATATAAAATACTTTAGAAACACAACCCATTCTCCCACACAGGAGATAGCAAAAGCCACCTGAGCATTTTGCTTTATGTCTAAGAACAAGCAACTCCTTTGTCTTTATAATATCTCATAATATTTTGAACTGCTATTTGTGTTACTTTGTGTAAACCAAGTCTCTGAAGCATTATAAAGTACTCATGATTAAATTTACACACAGCTCATCTTCCAAGTTTCATTGCCAACACTAGATTCTGAGTGTGTTTGCACTCAGTGTGTAGGCTAAATTGTCAGATGTTTTCTAAATAACATTCTTTTTCTAACAATGGAAAACATTCCGTGAACACTTGCTTTGTAATTTCTAAGCAAGTAAGTTTAAGGTTACAAGGAAAAGGATTAAGATTGAAGAGTTTAAAGATGTTTTAGGGGGAAAAAACCATCAGAATAGATGAAACGACCATATTTTTCAGAGTATAAGACGCACCAAGATTTTGAAGAGGCAAATTTATAAAAAAAGTTTTTGCACTCTGCAGACTTCCCCAAAACAGCTTGGGGTTTTTGCGAAAATGGGCCCTTTTTTGACAAAAAAAGGGCACGCATAGCCTTTAGGCGGCTTGTTGAGTGCTCCTGGGGCTGGGGGGGGGGGCAAAAAAATGCCAAAAATGGGCCATTTTTTGTCAAAAAAAAGGGCATAGCCTTTAGGAGGCTTATGGAGTGCTCCTGGAGGCTGGAGGGGCAAAAAATGGCCCATTTTTCACTCATTTTTGCCCTCCTCAGCTCCCAGGAGCACTCTGGAAGCCTCCTAAAGGCTATGCATGGCCATTTTTCCAAAGGGGGCAGGGTTTCAGGAGGCCAAAAATGCTGTATTCTGTGTATAAGATGCACCCAGATTTTCACCCTCTTTTTTGAGGGAAAAGGGTGCGTCTTATACTCTGAAAATATATGGTAAGAAAGTCTTCCATTATGATAAGTTAAAAAGCCTTGGGCACATCCTAATACACTATTCTTACTTCTTTTTTTAACCCACTCATTCCTCTCTTTTTATACTTCTATCAAATTTGGTTATGGAGGGATCCTAAGGAAGAGCAAGTTGATTTTTTGCCAGTTCTCTATTAAAATTGCAGTGGGTTAAGTAATCAAGAAGGATCTTAAGCACAATCATAAATAAAAATTGTCTTGTCAAGCAAAACTCTAACATATTCTCCCCAATACCCAACAACTAGATGTCCAGGAAAAATTGAAATTGATTTTGCAGAAATATCACATCTACAGGGTCCTATTTTATGGATGTATTAAAAACTGATGCAATCAACTTCTATCAAAGCTATTCCAACAAATTTATTTCAAAGAAGAAAGGTATTATTCAGTTCCTTTGGGTATGTGGGTGGATTAATACTGATGTTAGTTATCTGGGTTGCTAGTTTGTTTATTTCTATTGCTAAATTTCTATGTATTGGTTGTGTTTACACTATTTTTACATAGTAGGCCACCCAGCATCAGGATGGAGTTGGGTTCTGCCAAAGTTCACTTAAATGGGTAAATAAACATGCACTATCATTTTCACCCTAGCAAATCTCCATGACTCCAAGTCACGTCACCGTAATTCAGCTACTAAATTTTGGAGGAGGAATTGAATGTTTGCATTCAAATTCCTATTCCTATCCTTAAATTAAACAAACAAACAAAAAAAGAACTAGTTGGTAGCTCCTTCCCACTAATTTATTGAGATTTCTTGAATAATCTACAATTATTTGGGCAAACCAATAAGTCATAAATCATGGCTTATAAAATGTAGTGTTTATACTCATACAGTATGCTAAGGCAGCATGAACCAGCATGGTTTAGCATGAACCAAAGGTCTGTCTAGCCAACATCTTCCATAGAAAGAACATAATACATGTCTTTGGAACACAAAGGTAAACTTTAAGTGTGGAGAAAAGCTTATTTACCTTAAACGCCATGAAACAATGTAGACAAAGGAGAAGCATTACGAAGGCCAGGATCAGGGTAGCAAAATTCCTCAGATCCCAGATTGATTCCACCAGAGGAATACTCCCAACCTGCCAGTCGTAGCACAGCGTAATTGGGGCCAGTAGAAGCCAGGCGTTGAAGGCCAGGAGGTAGGAATAAGTAAGAAACCTGCAAAAAGAAACACAAAATTAAAACAATCTGCATGTTTCTCCAGTGGAAGAAACAGCCAGTTCAATAGGACTATGCAATGTTCAGATTCAACCCCCAAAAGCTGATTCCAAGTATGCACTGCCTGTTCCGGAAATGGGGAGGGGACGACGACAGACAAATGCTTTAAAATGTTACAGAGGGACTCTGCAGGTAGTCCTCAACTACAATTGGGCCAGAACTTCCATCAATAGGCAAAACAGTCATTAAGTGAGCCACACGAGACTTCATGATCATTTTGCTGCAGTCGTTAAGCAAATCACACAGACATTAAGTGAATCCAGCTCCCCCCCCCCCATTATCTTTGCTTGTCAATGGAATAGTCCCAAACGACAATCATATGATCCCGGAACGTTGTAATCATCATAAATACATTCTGGTTACCAAGAACCCAAATAGCAATTGAATGACTGTTGGGACACTGAAATGATTACTGTATTTTTCGGACTATAAGACGCACCGGTGTATAAGATGCACCAAGATTTCGAAGAGGTAAGTAAGAAAAAAAGTTTTTGCTTTCCTCCAGCCCCCAGGAGCATTCCGCAGGCTTCATCAGGGCTGAGGAAGGGCATAAACACCATTTTTGCAAAACAACAAGCAGAAAACGGGCTATTATTTGCAAATACAGAGGCATTTTTGCCTTCCCCCAGCCTTGCTGAAGCCTGCAGAGTGCTTCTGGGGGCTGGAGGAAGGCAAAAACCCCTCAGTTTTTGCAAAAAAAAAAAAAATCGGCCCATTTTTCACAAAAACAGAGGCATTTTTGCCTTCCCCAGCCCTGTTGAAGCCTGCAGAGTGCAAAAATGGGATGTGGGGGCGGGGCTTCGGGAGGCCAAAAATGGCTGTATTTGGTGTATGACGCACCAACATTTCCACGCTTTTTTACTCTTATACACTGAAAAATACGGTAAGTTCTAGGACCAGTCATAAGCCCGGTGTCACCTACATCCATGGGTACGGTGCGCACACACACACGCAAGCATTTTAGCATCAAATGACACTTCCACAAGCCTCCTTGACGCTCCAGCTGCTCTACAGAGAGTCGTGCAGGCGCTGTATGCGCCATGCACATGTGCGTAAGCACCATGCGTGTGTGCCTAAGCGCCAAAACTTAAAGCACAGGTAAGGAGTGCAGGCGGGTGGGTGGGCCCGCTGGAGCATCGTACCGGAATGGTACCCGGTGCTCCGGGCAGGATCCAGTACACCTCTACCGGGGCGTACCGCCTGCAACCCATCACTGATGCACACGTAAAGAAAGCGTGAAAAAGTATTACTCATATATTATTTTTCTCTAAGTTTAAAACTTAAGGAATACAGAGGTCTTAAAATATTTAACTTTTATAAAAATATTAGCTGGCAGTGGGCGGTTGGAGTAGCAATAGCAATAGCAGTTAGACTTATATACCGCTTCATAGGGCTTTCAGCCCTCTCTAAGCGGTTTACAGAGTCAGCATATTGCCCCCAA